AGTGTAAGAGGAAACGATAAAAAGACGATACCTCGTGACACGTGTCACTGAAGAGCAACCGTGCGATCTCGGCCTGGTCGCTGTGAACTGCAACACACAAAATAAGACAGCAAAACCTCTCAGTCTGGTTACATCAAGGTTAATACAAGAAAAATCCCAAACCTCAACTAAAACATCGGGACATGAAACACTTTGGGTGGTGATAGTAAACCTAATGGTTTCTGGTGTTAACTCCAGGTTTGATACTCAGTTTGGTTTTTGGGATCAAACCCAGCAGGCGCTGCTGTTAAACGATATTTTAATGAACATCCAAGGAGAAATTGTGAGGTTTAATAATGTTCTGCAAGTCATTTTGTTGTTATGGTTCTTTTTTGTTTTTTAGCCTAATGAGTTCAGCTCGTGGAGACGAGTCTCTAAAGCTTCATTGAATTTATTTAAAAACAAGCATTTGTTTCCTTGTTTAAAATTTGAGATTCAGGCTTTCAGATTATCAAATAACAACATTTTGTTGAGCCGTAAAAGCTCAACACTTGTTACCGGTGTGTTAATTAGCCAAACATAACAAGTAAAACTCTCTAATGTTAAGCTATAAGCAAACCACTCCACAGTCACATGACTTCAACGCCACCACCAGCAAATCCTGTCCTCTGTGTGAGGACATCAAATGTCCCCAACAGCTTATACAGTCTCAGTCTGACACTTGCTGACACTCATCCTCTGATAAAAGCTACAAAATTCAGTTTTTGTTTTTGTTTTTTGAAACAAGGCGAAATTGTCTAAAGCTAGATTTAACCACAGATCTTAAGCCAGCAAAAAAACAAACAAACAAACAAACAAACAAACAGAAAACCATTTCAGAAGCGAGGCAGAATAAAGGGACTTAAATGTCCAGGTGTACCCTGACTTTCATCCCACCAAAGCTGGGACAGGCTGCAGCATTCCTACAACTCTGACATGGATAAGTGGAAGAACATGGATGGATGGATATACTGAAAAATTGTCAAATTGTCCAAAAATGATTCTACGCATTCAATTTATTGATTCAAACATTTAAAACAGACTAACACTAAATTTAATATTTGTTTTATTAAAATAGAATTCTTGTAAGAGTCACTCTTTTTACAAAACATTTGGGAACTTTTTTGCTTTTTGTTAAGAGGAAACAGGGTTTACTTCAAACTCCTCAATCTAAGGTCGGTGTGTTTCATAACCAGTATGTGGCGACACATTGAACCCACCTCCGTACAGTATGGCAGTGTTGTGAACAATCATCTGAGCGTCTGCTTTGAACTCTTCAAAAGTCTTGTACTTTCCTTCAGACAGATTCTGAAAGAGTCAAAAATATTGAAAAGAAATTTATTCAGGAGGAGAACGAGGACAAAGAGTCCACTAACATGCTGAGTATGTGTTAGGTGACTGATACACAAGAGGTTACCACACACTAGGGCTGCCACAAACCATTATTTTGATAGT